GAAACGTTGGTATAGCTCAATTCCCATTGGGTTGGACGCCACAATTACCCCAAACTTTACCGTCATTGCAAAGCTCATGCAGCTTCAACAGTTTCAAAAATTTCAATTATCTCAGCCACAACCCGATTACGCGGTCGGGTTCCCCCGACAATCCTTCACTGATGATCAACTGAAAAAGCTTGCACCATTTGTCGGTGAAATTGGTGATGGGTCTTTGTTTATGGGCACTGCATACATGTACTTTCCATTTCTGACAGTTGAAGTGAAGTGAGGAAAGGAAGCACTTGAGATAGCAGATCGACAAAATGCACATAGCATGGCTCTCTCGGTGAGAGGTGTTGTCAAGCTCTTCAGGGTTGTGAAGGGTTGTGAAGTGTGAGAAGGAGCTCCATCGACAGATTCTGTCCTTTTCAATTTCGCATGATCATCAAATGGTGAAAATCCATGGTCACTATCCAATGATTGATGGAGATAAGACCAGCTACTATTGTCATCCCATTCATGAGTTTTGTTTAGCAGCGCTGGATGGCAAAGAGAGATGGACATCCTATAAGTTCATGATGGGCCTGTATGACGACTGGGCCTCTTCTCATTTCAAAAGATTGTGCTCGGCTATTGATCAACTACCGGAGATTAACCTAGATGTATCACAGCAGTCTGAGATATTACCGCCGTATGAGCTGGGCTTTTCAGAATCAACTGGACTTTCACGGGGGATCAAGGGTATCGATGTACAAGGTTCAAGTTTCACATCTGTATTGGAAAAGGAAGCCCAGCCACCTCTCTCCGATTCACAGGTTCCACCCTCGGGCCCTACGCGGGGGAATGAAATGAAATCCTCAAAAGCATTCAAGTTGCCCCAGAAAAGACGCAAATAGATATTTTGATAATCGAACTTTTATGTTAGCCAAGCCCCTTGTAGTGGTTATATGGTGGGGGCCTGTCTGGTTGGCCGGACATGGACAGTTATCGAGAGACCTGGCCAATCAGAGCCTGGGCTTGAGTTGTCTGTTCTCCTCCGTTCATTCTCTGGGCCAGCTCCATCCAGAACTCCTGTCTCTCGTTTTGCCATTTCGGTTCTGTCTTCTTTGTTCCTGCTGTATTCTTTCTCCCTTCGCTTCCTTACTTCCTTTTAAAAGTGGTTCTCCCGTTTCTTATAGCTTTCAGCCTGTAGTCTCACCTCCCCTCGATCAATTGGCCGTCCAATCATTGCATCTCATAATTCCTAATGGTTACTGTCCCTTCAATGTTTATGTCCTCTACCAATTCAATTTCAATTTCAATACCAGTCTCATTGCCTTATCCTCGGGTGCACGGACTCCCAGTTTAGCTACGGAATAAATACTCTACACATCGAAGCTGCAGTCCCCCCTTCTGTGATACAAGGCTCTATCTGCCCTTTAACTTCACCTTGCCTCGACTGATCTCTACACGACTCGACTCGACTCGATACCGGATTTGCCAACTAGCATTGAGCAAATGAACACCCTGGCCAGCCCTCCGCTCCGGATCCTTCTTTAAGGATCATGCGTCATTCGCCCTTGTCATGGCATCTGCCGCCGCTGCTGCTCATACTGCTACTGCTGGTGCTGTCGATAGATGTCGTCTCGGCCTTCTTCCCTTACAACCCTGTTGCCAATACCGATGCTGATGGTGATGGTGATGGCTTGCTGTGGCTGCCTTCGTCCAGAGGGTTAGTGAAAGAACGGTTCTACCCGTACAGTCCAAGCAAGAGCCGGGGCGGCACGGCATCTCCTCAGAGGGATGCCAAGGAGCCCATCAAGTTAGATATTATCAAGGTTCGCGGAAATGTTAGTACTTGATTTTTTTTTTTTTTTGTTTTTTTTGTTTTTTTTGTTGATTGATTGATTGCTTTTTTGAGTCTGGGACTATTTTTTCCTTTTATCAAACGATTTCATGACTTAATTTAATTGGTGTTGGTGTTGGTGCAAAATAGGCTCGTCGACAGAATGTCTTCCAGGTCTTCTCTGCGGATCCCACGACTCTGCCGCAGAGTCTACCCATCGATACCGACAGATTCGACTACTCTTACTTCTCAGTGATGTATTTTGGCTCCGAGCGACAGGCCATGTTTATGCTGATGGACACTGGTGCATCCAACACCTGGCTGATCAGCTCCCATTGCACCCTCCAACCCTGCAAAGATGCATAACACGGTTTGGCATCGAGGATTCCAATTCCCTTTCGGTCTCGGATATCCCCTTCACGGTTTCATATGGCTCCGGGACGGTATCAGGGGTCCTGGTCAATGATTCCGTTTCCTTTGGTGGTTTCGATCTGCCGCATGTTGGTTTTGGTTCCGTGTTGGATATGTCTGACGAGTTCAAGAATTATCCCATGGACGGGATTTTGGGTCTAGGCCGAGCACCGGCGTATAAAGTCAAAGTGCCGACGGTTATGCAAGAGATAAAGAAGGCCGGATTGCTGGAGAAATATATCGTCGGTGTCAATCTACAACGGCACCGGGATGGGGCCAAGGATGGCCAGATTGTCTTCGGAAACGTCGACCCGACTAAATTTACTGGCGATATTTCGTACACCAAAACCGTCCCCGCTGTCGACCATTGGGAGATTCCCGTGGATGATATGTTCGTCGGCGGCAAGCCGTTGAATTTCCAAGGCAGAAATGGCATCTTTGACACAGGCACCTCCTTCGTCCTCATGCCCCTCGCCGACGCGCAACGCATCCACGATGCAATCCCCAAAGCTGTGAAGAGTGCCACATGGGAAGCAAATTGGGATCTCCCCTGTTCGACAACGACGAAAATCGAACTTGTTGTCTCCGGGGTGAAGTATAATATATCTCCAAAGGATTACGTCGGCGATACCACCACCACAGACGGCATGTGCCGCTCGAAGATCGTCGGCCACCAGCCATTCGAAGACAATGAGTGGCTGCTGGGCGCCACGTTTTTTAAGAACGTGTACGCTGTCTTTGATTTCGATGAAGATCGGATTGGATTGGCGATGCGGGCGGCTGAAGATGGTTCCGATTCTTCCTCACCTACTCAACGTACGTCCATGATCAGTTGAAACCCTTTTTTCCCCTATATCTATATCTACATCTATATATTATAGTATACATATATACTAATCTAAATTTTATTCCCTACAGAACCCCCCACACCCTCAGGCTCTCCACCCGTTTCCCCTGTCGGGCCCCCAAGCGATTCAAAAACAAAAACCGCCGGATCCTCTCCAAACTCCCCCGGCTCATCAGATGGAGCGCAAGCCATGAGCCTTTCGTCCGTCGTCCCATTGTTGTGGTTTTTGCTTGGTTCTCTCCTTTTGCTATTATCGACTTTATCTCCTTGGTAAATTTCCCCTCTTCTTTCCTTCCTTTTTCTTCCTCTCGAAAGTATGCATCACCGTCTCTCTTCGTTATGTCCTATCCTGCCTTGTTCTATCTTGTTTTCCTTGATACAGGAAAAAGGAAGGAAGAAAGAAGACGATAGAGGAGGAATGAAACCAGGCACTCTCCCTCTACTAGAAAGTCGTCTTCATCAGCTATTAGCGTCGGCCATGTATCCATCCATCCCTCCACATCGTCAATACTTCGTGTATCCTCCTCTCCTCCTCCTCCTTTTGCTTCCCCCCCCCCCCCCACACACGAAGAAAAGACGGTGCTGGGCCTGGATAGTAACGCGGCTACATCCTAGCATAACCCTACTATCATTTCCCATCGAATGCCAGGTCTCCGTTTGCTGGAATATAATTGGAGAGAGACTGCCATTGATATTGCCATAAAACTTTGAAGCGAAACGGGACTCCACGGGAATAAACAAGTTGTCACGTGCTAAGAATGCCCGTTTCCCAGTCGCAGAGGAGAATCTATAAGATCAGTCCCGGTGTTCAGCTTCTAAGGGGCAGATGC